AAGCAGTGCCCATTCTCCACCACCACTGATCCCAGTATTCCTCCCACCACCCAACCCCCCCATTCCACCCTGCCTCTGTGGCAGGGCATTCCCTTTTGTTCTCTCTCTCCTTTTGGGTGCTGTGGTTTGCAAAAGAGGCATTGAGTGGCAAATCGTGTTCGGTCTATAGTCTACTTTCAACATGTTTCTCCCGTTTTGGGAGGATCCTCTCAGTACCCTTTATTTGGTGCTCCCTTCTCTATCTGAGCTGCTTTTTCCCATGCATGTGTGGCTGGCCTCCAAGCCATGGAGTAAACCTCCTGGTACTTATCTTGGCTATTCTTGGGTGTTAGTCTCCTATTTTGTTACTTTATGTTCCCCAGATGAATGCAGTCTTTCTATGTCTGTTCTTTTCTTTCTGACTATTTCGCTTTGCATGATACTTTTCATGTAGTACCACTTGTAGTAAATTTCATCACTTCATCTTTTCTAACAGCTAAATAGTTCTCCATTGTGTAGATGTAGTTTCTTTAACCAGTCGTCTGTTCTCGGGCACTCAGGTTTTTTTAGATTCTGGCTATTGTAAAGAGTGCTGCAATGAACAAACAAGTGCAGATGTCACTTCCACTATACTTTTTTGCCTCTCTGAGATATATTCCCAGGAGTGGTATTGCTGGGTCAAATGGGAGCTAAATTTCTCATTTTGGAGAATCGTCCATACCGTTTTCCAAAAGGGCTGAAGCAGTCGGCATTCCCACCAGCAGTGAAGGAGGGTGCCTTTCTCGCCACATCCGCGCCAGCACCGGTTGCTTTTGTTCTTTTGGATGTGGGCCAGTCTCTGTGGTGTGAAATGATACCTCATTGTTGTTTTGATCTGCATCTCTCTGATGATTAATGATGTAGAGCATTTTCTCATGTGCCTTTTAGCCATTCGGATTTCTTCTTTGAGAAAGTTTCTGTTCATTTTGTCGCTCCTTTTTTTTTTTTTTAATTTGTGAAACACCATGAGATGCAGTTGTAGACTTACAAGTTTTTGTGCTTGGGTTCAGCTATACAATGATCGAGTACCCATCCCACCACCAGTGCCCATTCTCCACCCCCACCAATCCCAGTATCCCTCCCACCCCCCCTCATCCCCCATCCCACCCTGCCTCTGTGGCAGGGCACTCCCTTTTGTTCTCTCCTTTTGGGTGCTGTGGTTTGCAGAAGAGGCATTGGGTGGCAATCATGTTCGGTCCATAGACTACTTTCAGCATGCATCTCCCGTCCTTGGTGGATCTTCCCAGCACTCTTTATTTGGTGCTCCCTTCTCCATCTGAGCTGCCTTTACCCCTAGAGTGTGCAACTGGCCTCGAAGCCATGGAGTGAACCTCCTGGAATTTATCACAGCTGTTCTTGGGTGTTAGTCTCTTATTTTGTTACTTTATTTTACCCAAATGAATGCAATCTTTCTATGTCTATCCCTCTCTTTCTGGCTCATTTCGCTTAGCATGATATTTTCCATGTAGTACCACTTGTATGTAAATTTCATGACTTCTTTTTTTCTAACAGCTACATAGTACTCCATTGTGTAGATGTACCACATCTGGGGTCTGGGTGAGGGAGACTTTCTAGTTACCCCTGTCTTCAGGAGACAACAGAAGCAGATCCTGAGAGGGCAGGAGACCTGGAGAGGCTGGGCTGATGGCCCGGATCAGCCCAAGAGAAATTCATCAGGAAGAATAGGAAGCTGTGTGCAGGGAGCTTCCTGGATCAGTGGCAGGTCCTGTCAGCCTGCAAGGGCAGTGCTCATCTCACCATGTGTGTCTGTGTTTGGGGGCTGGGTGTGTGCAGGGTCTGTGATGAGCTGAGGAAGATGTTGAAGAGGGAACCTAGGGTGTCTTGGACAGTTGAGGGCTGAGCTGCATGGCTCTGGATTGGACATCTTTGCCTCAGAACAGGAGAAAATCTCCTCTGGAATGGGAGATGTGTTGGTGGCACTCGACTCCCGGGGTTGTGTGTGCAGCTCGTTCAGAATTTTCTTGCAGGCCTGGTGCTCAGTTGGATTGCACCTGTCGGTCAGCGTTCCTGCTGCCAGCCACTGCAAGCCCTTCCAGCAGGACCTTGCTGGCTCCCCACAGAGGCTAGCTTCTGAGGCCCCGTATGTGAGAGGCAGTCTCCCCAGGGTTATGAGGGGACACCCTCGTCAGTGAAGGGGGTCGCTCCTGCCTGGCAGTGCTGGGGATCGGGCCTGTACTCTTGCCCCGCCCCATTGCCGTGCTCCCTGTGGTCTCCAGGACACCCCTGGTGGAGTCTGGGTCTCTCTGAGGGTGAGAGGTCGGCAACAGAGTGTGAGCCTGTTTCCTCAGGGCCTGCGTGCAGGGCTCCCTCCATGCACGTCTTAGGGGAGGCCCTGGGCTCTTCCCCCAGAGACTGACCCTGATGAGCATGTACTCAGGTGCCAGGGCCCTGGAGTAGGGCTGTGGGGGTGCCCGGGAGGACTGTCACTGATAACCATTTACTGCCAAAGAGCAGATTTAAATGTTCATAGTTCTGGAGAATCTGGAGCTCCTCCAGCCACGCCCCGTGAGCTCCTCTCTGACCCAGCCCAGCCTGGCGCCAGCAGCAGAGGGAATGCTCGGCACGTGTTTGTCAACATGGAGCATTCCTCAGACGGATTATTTACATTTCTCTGTTTATGTGTTAGACTGTTTCCTGGTAGATAGCACAGAGACAAATAACCTCCAGTCTGTCCCAAAGGACACATTCCCAGCCCACGTCTTCCTGGTGTCTGTCTGTCCTGAGCGACGCGGGCTCTAGGTGGAGGGCTCTGGCACCTTCCTGCTGCTCCTGCCTGGTCTGGGGGAGCCTGGTTTGGTCTCAAAGCCTCTTTCCCTATCTAGAGTCTCTTCTGCGAGCACCAGTGGCTCTAACGTCCTGGCATCCAGTCTTGCCTCTCTGCTGGGCCCAACTGAGAGCAGAAGCCAGTCTGTCTGGCCTGGGTCCTTGGGGGATTGTGGAATTGCTGCTGGGGGGGAGCAGGGCGAGTTACCCCCTCCCAACATGCCGCTCCCCACTGCACCCTGCAGAATAACCCGCCACCCCTTTCCCAGGGACACCCCAGGAAAAGTGACCTACACTCAGGGCCCTGCTCAGCCCACCCTCTCCTCAGCGCCTAAAAGGGTTTCTTGGATCCTGCACATCACCACTGCTTGTGCCTGAGCTACATACAGTCCCTGCCTCATGACCCTCAGCCTGAATGTGGTCACGGATGTGGTCATCCCGGGAGCTGGTCTCAGTGGGCATTGCGTGCTGACAGTTGAGGTGTGGTAGTGAGTCTTCTCTGCCCATCCTGCTCTCTCCCCAGCTCTGTTTCTCTCCTTCCTAGGTTTTTAGCAACTCTCTGCCTCTGCCTCACTCCCGCCCTTGACCCCATCTTCATTCCCCTGTGTCTTCCTCTTCCTCACGTCTGCCTCTTGGTATCTCACTGTCCCCCGCCACCTTTTCTCTCCAGGTCACAGTCGGTGCATCTGTCCTGAGAATAGAACTGACAGTAGTAATCAGCTTGCCTGCCTGCCTTCCCTCCCTCCCTCCCTCCCTCCCTCCCTCCCTCCCTCCCTCCCTCCTTCCTTCCTTCCTTCCTTCCTTCCTTCCTTCCTTCCTTCCTTCCCTCCCTCCCTCTCTCCTTCCTTCCTTCCCTCCCTCCCTCTCTCCTTCCTTCCTTCCTTCCCTCCCTCCCTCCTTCCTTCCTTCCTTCCTTCCTTCCTTCCTTCCTTCCTTCCCTCCCTCCCTATCTCCATCCTTCCTTCCTTCCTTTCTTCCTTCCTTCCTTCCTTCCTTCCTTCCTTCCTTCCTTCCTTCCTTCCTTCCTTCCTTCCCTCCCTCCCTCTCTCCATCCTTCCTTCCTTCCTTCCTTCCTTCCTTCCTTCCTTCCTTCCCTCCCTCCCTCCTTCCCTCTCTCCCTCCCTCCTTCCTTCCTTCCTTCCTTCCTTCCTTCCTTCCTTCCTTCCTTCCCTCCCTCCCTCCTTCCCTCTCTCCCTCCTTCCTTCCTTCCTTCCTTCCTTCCTTCCTTCCTTCCTTCCTTCCTTCCTTCTCCCTCCCTCCCTCCCTCCCTCCCTCCCTCTCGTTTTCTTTCTCTCTTTCTTTCCTTTTTTTTTTTTTTTTGGGTCATACCTGGCGATGCTCAGGGATCACTCCTGGCTGATCTACTCAGGAATCATTCCTGGCAGTGCTCAGGGGACCATATGGGATGCTGGGAATTGAACCTCAGTCGGCCGCGTGCAAAGCAAACGCCCTACCCGCTGTGCTATTGCTCCAACCCCTTTCTTTCTTTCTTTCTTTCTTTCTTTCTTTCTTTCTTTCTTTCTTTCTTTCTTTCTTCCTTCCTTCCTTCCTTCCTTCCTTCCTTCCTTTCCTTCGTTTCCTTCCTTTCTTTCTTTTTCTTTCTTTCTTTCTTTTCTTGTAAAACAGAAAGGTGTTTGGGTGAAAAAATGTCTACAGAGTAGACATTAAAATACAGAAAAACAGAAGTACAAGGGAGCTCAATGAGCTGAGCACTTTTTTCTTTTTTTCTTTTTGGGTCACACCCAGCGATGCACAGGGGTTATTTCTGGCTATGCACTCAGGAATTACTCCTGGCGGTGCTCGGGGGACCATATGGGATGCTAAAAATCAAACCTGGGTCGGCCGCGTGCAAGGCAGACGCCCTACCCACTGTGCTGTCACTCCAGCCCCTGAGCATGTTCTTCATTACAGCAGGTCCACGTGTAATCCTGAGCAACACAGGGAATGACCCCCAAGTGCTTCCAGGTGGCTCAAAACAAAACAATAATATTTGGGATAATGACACAGAGAATTTTCATTGCTCAGACATTTTCTGGAACCTTGGGCCACTCTGAAGGCTCAGAGGAGTTTTGGTTTCACTGGGCTCAGGTATTTGCAGGCTGGGGCCCTGCTCTGGCACACAGTGGTGCTTCGTCTGAGGGACTATACTTGCCTCTGGCAGAGATCCTTTCCTCCTACAGTTTGCTTTTCCTTCCCAGGTGAAGTGCTACCATAAGAAGTACCGCTCAGCTACCCGCGATGTCATTTTCCGCTTGCAGTTCCACACGGGAGCTGTTCAGGGCTACAGACTTGTGTTTGGGAAGGAGGATTTGGACAGTGCCAGCAAAGGTGGGTCCTGGTGCCCAGGCTGCGGGTGGTGGGCCATGGAGTCTCAGTGAGGGGAACGCAGGTGGCCCTGCCATGTGTTTCTTTACTATTCTCTCCTTTGCCTACTCATAAATCAGCCTTAACAAAGGGCATTGCCAACTTCAAGCTTTCTGTAGGCATTGGAGTGGCAGGTTTGGGAAGGGGGTGGGCTGGGAAGGGATAAAATTCACATGCCCTTTGGCCCAATGTGTTTTGTTTTTTAGATGACCGGTTTCCTGATAATGGGAAGATTGAATTAATATTCTCTGCCACTCCTGAGAAGATTCAAGGTGGGTGGAGGAGAGATGCTGGGGGCTGGTGACCACATCGGGTGATGGGTGTCTGTACACTCACCTTTGCACGTGTTTGGGAATTTTCATAGCACTGTACTGTCCTCCCGTTGTTCATCGATTTGCTCGAGCAGGCCCAGTAACGTCTCCATTGTGAGACTTGTTGTTACTGTGTTTGGCATATTGAATATGTCATGGGTAGCTTGCCAGGTTTTGCCGTGAGGGCAAGATACTCTCGGTAGCTTGCCGGGCTCTCCGAGAGGGGCGGAGGAATCAAACCCAGCTCACCCGCCCGGCCTCGCGCAAGTTAAACGCCCTACCCTGTGCTGTTGCTCCAAAAAGAAAGCATTAGCCAATGAAGGAGCAAGTGATTTGGAGGTTACAGGACACAGTAGAATCCCAGAGACAACTTTCTAGAGGAATAGCGTAGGACCTCAGGAATGGGCAGTGCCTTAGTTCCTGTTTAACTCTTCCCTCAATAAACAGCCTCCTCAAAAGTTTCTTGTAGGGGCACACTCTGTGATCAAGGATCAAAATCAGGATCTTGTGCATGCTAAGCACAAACTTTGCCATTTGAGTAAAGTTTGGCCATAATAAATGGCCATAATAAATGTTCTTAAAGGAGATTGGAAGCCTAGTAGACTTTAAATACAGGTAAAATTTATCCCCAGTTCTTATAAAAATCCATTGAAATAAGAATCAACCCCTCACCCTTGAGGGGGGTGGGGGTGGGTGAGTCCCCCCCCCCCCCAAAGAGAGCCCCAGCAGCTGCAAACCTCCACACCCCACAGCCTCTTCCATGCTCATGGCTAGACTCCACTGCTTGGGATGAGCTACATCCAGAAATTGATTTGTTGAAGGACTCAGGTATGCGGGTTTTGTAACTGAGATCTCCAGGATCTCATGGAGATGGGGCGACCTCACCCCATCTCCCTGTTCTTCCAGAAGTCTGGCAGACATGCTAATGAACTGCTTCTGATGCCAGCTAAGCTCATTAACTTGCCATGATTCAGAGACTCATAAATACATCTCGAAAAAGATCAGTAAATTGCACAGATGCTTCCAAATCCCATGCTAGGCTCTGTCATCTGGTGCACCCAAAGTAAACATCCAGTTAAAATTTTTACTACAGCTATATTACCCCATTCAAAAATTTTGACTGTGTGACGTGTCAAGTGCTACACCACTGATGAACCAGGAGTAGCACAGCAAATTGGATGGGATATAAAGTAGAAGGCAACCTATCTCCATTAAGAAATTATGAACACAACCAGGCTTAACTGGTAACATGTTAGTAATCTCTTCTTCAAGGGCTTAATGGCTCCATTGTGAGATACAACAGTTTTCACACATTCTCATCTAAGAAAATAATTTTGATCTGTAACTAATTGTAACAAGCAATATAGAATAAATTATTCAGGGCCTGCTACAGGGGCAGGCTTGAGGGGTGGATGGGATAACTGGAAATAATGGTGGTGGGTAGGTGCACTGGTGGTGAGATTAGCGTTAGAATACTGAATGTAATAAATCATGAACAACTTTATAAAAATAAATAAATTAAAAAATAATCAGCCCCTTTATTATTTTTATTTATTTGCTTTTTTGGGTCATACCCGGTGATGCACAGGGGTTACTCCTGGCTCATGCACTCAGGAATTACTCCTGACAGTGCTCAGGGGACCATATGGGATGCTGGGAATTGAACTTGGGTTGGGCGCGTGCAAGGCAAACGCCCTACCCGCTGTGCTATCACTCCAGCCCCAAGAATCAGCCCCTTTAATGCCAAGGCAACAAGTCCATTCCCATCACCGAAACCCATATTTTGAATGTTAAAATTGCTTTTAAGAGCTGTGGATGATAATCACTTTCTTTTTATATGAGGTCTTGTTTATTTACTTGTCAGCAGTGTTAAGATGTTTCGGTGTTTTCAGACTAATGAGGAGTGTGGGTATGGCAGTCTCAAAGTGGGTTTTGTCTTCGCCTCATACCCATGTAAGCTGGCCCTTTCACACCCCTGGGTGCTTAATCTATGAAATGGGCTTTTGAGCCTATATTGCAAGGACCACTATTCAACTTTCCTTTATATGGTGAGGCTATAGCTCACCTCCAGCTTGTTCAGAATAGTATTGGTAGGAAGAGGGGTGCTCCACATGCTCTGGGTAGATGCGGGAGATCCTGGGCTCTGGAGTTGACCTCTGTGTCCCCTTTGCAGGTTGTGAGCACTTGCGCAATGACCATGGGGTAACTGTGGACTTCAACACCGCTGACCCTTTGATCCGGTGGGACTCCTACGAGAACCTGAGTGCAGATGGAGAAGGTGTGTGTAGATCCCTGGGTCCTGTACCCAGAGCCAGGCCTGAGCAGCTCCTGTTCCCAGTGGGACATGTGAAGAGGCTAGAGGTGGGCTGTCTGCCTAGAGACCTAGGGGCTGAGTGGGGTGTCTGAGGTCTCCGTGAGAGTCAGGCATGGGAACGTCAGCAGTAGCAGGCGGTGGCTGTTGGTAGGCTCCTGTGGCTTGAGTTGTGTTTTCTCTGTCCTCTCTCTCTCTCACTGTCTTTGTATGAGCTGTGAAAATTTGGCCATCGCCATCCTGCGTACCTTATGGAGTCTCTTGGGTACAGATATTTGGCTTTTATTTCTGTTTGCTACTGTGGACTTCTTGTTTGATGCCTGCAGCATTTTAATTTCCATTTTGTCTGTTTGGTGGGGGCACACCAGAGTTCTCAGAATGTGCTGTGGATACAGCACTTGGGGGCATTTCCATTGGTGCTCAGGGGTCTTGGCTGTGCCAGGTACTGAATCTGGGGCCCTCACATGTGAAGCATGAGCTCCATCTCCCTTAACCTGTTTCTGGACTGTTCATTTTCTATTCTCTGTTCACCTACAGAAATACTGAATGACTTAGTCATAGCCTGTGGCAGTGTCCTGAGTGGGGATGGGGCACAGGGTCTGTGAGAGAAGCTCCGGGCGACTGATTGAGAGAAATCAGGACTTCTGCATGTTACTCAGTCCTCACACATGCCTATACACCCACCACAGAACAGACCCCAGGAGAAACCAAAGCTGGTCTAGGTTGTGCTAGTTTTCAGGGTTATGTGCTGTTAAGGGCGGGAAGCTGAGTAGTGTGCTGTTCTGAATCTCAGAGGAAATGGGATTTGCGTCTGGGTATTTGACCTGGTGCAGGTCTCCAGGTGAGTTGAGTCGTGTCCATCCCCTCCACCAAGCTAGCAAAAGGAGGTTCCCACACTCATTTGGCCACTTCTCTTTTCAAAAAAATTTCTCATCACTCCTCTCCCCAACACCCTCCCCCATTTGATTGTTCCTGCTGTCCCCCGAATCTCTCCATCCCCCCCCCCCCCCAAGTGTGCTATTGTCAAGTTTGGAATGACTGCACTCTGGGCACTTGACACCTGATTCTCTTCTCAGGTCCGGAAATGGAGTTTTCCTCCTTCTAGATTCACCTGAACAGGAAGGGGCTGGCAGGGAGAGAGAGGCCATGGGGGAAAGATTCAGTGTGACATCAGGGAACATGGCCCCAGGAGCAAGTCAGAAGGGCAGGCTGCTCCTGTCTGGCAGTCGACTCTCACCCTCAGGGAGGTATTGTGCTATTGAGTCCCATACAGGGAGCTCGTCTTTGCTTCTGGGGAAAAAGGGGTCCAGGCTCCTGTGAGTCTCTATTCACAGTGTTTTCAGTAACTCATCAGCATTGCTCTGTGTGGTTCTGTCTGAAGTAGCTTATCTAAGATTTTTGTTGGCGTTCACATTGATTGTAGCTGACAGTGCTGCCACTCAAGCCAGAACAAAGCTCTCTGCACGGGTGTTTGCTGCGAGGCACCTCACAGCCCTTTGTCCTGAAGACTAGGAGATGGCACTTTAGGACTCAACTGGGAAACATTTTTAATAGAGAAATCAACATCAGAGAGGCAAAAAAGCGGAAGAAAGTAAATCAGCTCAGAGAAGTGTACACTTTGTTTATTTGTGGTCTATGCATGTCTGTATGTGTACATGTATAAATATGAGTTTATGTATGTATGCATATGTATAAGCACACCATGTGTGGGCCAGAGACATATTACAGTGGGTAAGGAGCCTGCCCTGCATTTTGCCAACTTGTGCGCAATCTTTGGCACCCCATCTGATTCCCTGAGCCCCAACAGGAGTGATCCCTGAGCAAAGAACCCGAAATAAATCCTGGGTACCACTGAATGTGACTTCCCAAACAAAACAATACCAAACATACTGTGTGTGCACGCATGTTTGTATGTATAGAGAACGTGTGCTTTACGTATGTGTGCATCTCTCTATCTGCCTGCTTCAGCAGGATGTTCTGTGTGCCGTAACTGGACTGTGCCAGGAACCAGGGTAGTATTAAAGGTGAGTTGTGCCTCAGCACCCTAATCCGGAGCAAGGTTGCAGAGAGGAATATGGCTTTTGTAGGCAAGTGGCGCAGAATGCAGAGCGGTGCATGGACTAGAGCGGGTATGTCGGCCTGGGAGAGTGTGTGGCTTCACATGATGGGAGGTGTGGCTCTGCTGCGTGGACCAGCTCCTTGCTGACTGGCAATGGGACTCCCAAGAGCTGCCTGGCGGGTTCTGGAAGGTGACACCAAGTTAGTGGGGTTGGTGTCCTGGAGGCTCCAGACTCTGGTGGGATGGGAGACAGTGGAGAGGTGCCTGCAGGTCCCTGATGGGAAATTCGTGCCTAGACAAAGTGGGTCTGCCTGGAGTGTAGGTGACTTCCCATTTAAAGATGAGTGACCAGACTTCCCTGATTTAACACCACGCCTCCCCACTCCAGTGGCAAGCTTCCTACTGAAGTGTTCTTCCTTTCTGCTGCCTGTGGAGTTTTGTTATTCCTTTACAGTTTCTTCATATATTACATATGAGGGAGGTCATTCTGTGTCTGACCCTCTCCCTCTGGCTGACTTTTCTCAATACGAGACTCTCCAGATTCATCTATGTAGCAGGAAGTTGCATGACTTTATATTTTCTTACTGTTGAGTAGTTTTTCACTGTGTAGATATACCATAGTTTCTTTATCCAGCCATCTGTTCTTGGGGGCTTGGGTTGTTTCCAGCCAGCCAGCCCTTTTGCAAGTTATTATGATTATTGCTCAAAAAACTAACCATTAGTCTTCCCTTCCTAGCAGTCCCACTCCTCAGAATACACCCAATCCAAAAAAGACCCCTGCATCCCTTTGCCCCCTTTTTCTTGACTTGCCGCCTCCCAACCCACAGTCCCAGGGACCCTTCTGGTATGATTCTGTGAATCAGAATTAACTGCACAGAGTCATTTCTTTAGGAACTTCATGCTTCACTGTGTTCAAGGCTCATCTTACCTTCCACAGTGCCTGCTGCTCTGGGCATCGGAACTATGAAGAAGTAAATGAGTGTTAACTTGGAGAAAGATTGGATTTGGTCAGAAAAGTCAGTGTTATATTGGCAGTAGAGTGCTGAGTCCTCCAGCCCTGAGATGCTGTGAAGTCAGAGATGGCCCCTAATTCCTACTGTTCCAGGCAGGCACGCATGGTGAGCCTACATGCACCCAGTGATAGAGACACAGGGCGGACAGTGAGTGGTGACCCAGAGACATAGCTTGAGTGGACCAGATCCTCGTCCCCGGCTGTGCTGCCCTAGGGCTGGGGTCTGGAGCGGGAGTGGGTGTGGGTGATGTGGTTTGGGAATCTTGGAGGCTAGCTGAAGCTTAATGTGTGTTGGTTCCTCCTTCTGTCCCTGCCCTCTGTGATACGTTCCTGCCATGCCTCTCTCTGATGGCTGCACTTGAGATTTGGGGTCCCTGCCTGTATGGGTTGCTGGGACCTGAAATCTCAGGATGCCTGGATGAATGTGAGCAGCACAAGACCCTGTGATTAGGCTGTGGCAGGGGCCTGTTTTCATGCCTCTCCCTTCCAAAGGCTTTCTTGCAGACAAACTGAACGAATTGCATCTCAACCAGACTTCTCTGAGCCTGCACACTGTGTTGAGAGTGTGAGTCAAATTCATACCAAAGCCTGTGAATTTCCTTCTGCGTATCCTGTGAGGAAACTCTTTCTTCCCATTGCCAGGAAGAGTAAAATCTGTGCTCCATTCTGAGACTGTTGATCCCATCACGCATCACTCCTAGCTAGGGACTTGGAACTTTTGGTGATGTCACCATGAAGGGAAAAAATATTTTATTCAGCAAGCTAGGAATCAACTTGCAAAGTGTGTAAGAGACTTTTACATCTAAGTCACTCCTGAATGAAATAGGTAAGAGCATTAGGAAGTGGAAAAATAATCTATGTCCACACCAAAGCATTCTGCAGATTCACTGTAATCCCCATCAAGTTTCCCCATCATTCTTTCAAGACTTCAACAAAGTCTGCTGAAGTTTGTATAGAATCATAAAACTTTATGTCTAGCTAAAGCGATTTTGAGAGAAATTAAGATGGGAGGTGTTGCATTTCCTGACTTTAAATCATAGTATAGGACTAAAGCAATAGTGCGGTGTCCAAGGTCCTTGTTTTGCACTCAGCTGACTCGGGTTTGATTCCCTGCGTCCCAAATGGTTCCCTGAGGCTTCCAGAAATGATTCCTGAGGAAGAGCCAGGAGTTAGCCCTGAGCACAGCGGGATGTGGCCCAAAAACAAAAGAAAAAATAAAAGTAAACAAACTACAGTATAAAGTTACAGTAATCAAGACTGTGTGGTACTGGGAGAAAGGCAGACTCTCAGACCAAATGCAACAGAATCAGAGCCCAGATCTACCCTCAGGCTTATGGATAGTTTGAGGTGAGTGAATGAAGTGGAGAAAGGAAAATCTCTCGAACAAATGGAAAACGCTGGGAAAATTGGATAGCCAATGAAAATCATGAAATGACCCATAGCTCACACCATTCAAAGTTGGACTAAAGAATTTAAGATTATACCAAAATCCCTGGGCTGGAGCGATAGCACAGCAATAGGGCATTTGCCTTGCACGCAGCCAACATGGCCAACCCGAGTTCGATTCCTCCACCCCCTCGGAGAGCCCGGCAAGCTACCAAGAGTATCTCGCCCGCACGGCAAAGCCTGGCAAGCTCCCCGTGACGTATTCGGTATGCCAAACACAAGTAACAAGAAGTCTCAGGATGGAGATGTTACTGGGCCCACTCGAGCAAATCGATGAACAATGGGAGGACCGTGATCCGTGATCCAGAATCCCTAAAATACAGTGACCAACAGGTAAAGTCTCCAGGGTACGACCTCCAGAGGTGCCTAATAATTTGCAAAGATAACAAGTGAAACCAAACAAGATGATATCAAATAAAAAGCTCTTGCTGACAAGAAACTTGAGCGGAA